AGCCAGCCTGAGAAGAGGATCTGGAGCGAAATGCCCAGTACAGCCCCTGCGGCTGCCTCACTTGGGATGGGCAGGACTTGCCCCAAAGAGCAGCAAAAACAGCAGCGCCAAAGCTCACCAGCTACGGAGCGCGAGCGTCATCTAGTGCTGGCTGCAGGTAGAAAAGCCCATCTGCCACCTCACTGCAGTCTGGGGTTATAACAAGCAACTCTGCCTGACATGGACTGCCCAAAACTGCCTACGCCATTGCAAACCCACATGGTTGGGTATGGGGAACAGTTTCTTCCCAGCACTAATTACAGCTCAGAATTATTGCATTGATCATCATACTACCAGCCTGCAAAGCTAACCTAGGCTCCCCACATTTATCTGCCACTGAAATCTCATCTCTCTTCCAGTTTACAGGCGATTTCACTAGCACACTTCAATGCCATGAAAGCTTTTCTCCCTCATCTTAATGTAAACCCACCTTGATTACAATTAAATCACAAGATACTGCACACGCTTTCACTTTTCCTAGTTTTATTACCCATTCAAAGACAAGAAGAGATACTGAAGCATTCTGGGGTTTTGATGCTACTTAATTAATTGTATTGACACTATTACATGCTGAAGGGAAAAAAGCTTAGCCTATTAAGCTAGTCTACACTCCAGCACTATTTAAATAGTTCTGCATCTTTTGAGTGAGCCCATTAAAATCACGGGGAGCTGAAATTATTTGAGACTAATGGGCAGAAGTCACAGTCTAGAAGTGAATGGCAGTTGATGGTGACGGAGTGCCAGCAGGCAGTGGAGAGATGCCGTGATGGCACAAAGAGTGGCCAGCAGGATGGTGTTAGAGGTGTAATGAGTGGCCAGCGGGGTGGCAGCAGAGAGCAGGCAGAGGGTGAGTGACCAGCAAAGTGAGTAAGATGTTTCTTTACCGGCCCCCACTCAGGATGGGAGATGAAATCTGTGGTTGCATCTCTGAATTCTGGGTCTGCCCTGACCAAGGGCAGCAACTGTGAGTAGGGTACAGAGAAGGGCGAGTGGGGAATGCGAAGGGAATATTTACATTTCTGGAGTCAAGAACCTGAAAGGAAAAGGACACTGCCCTTCTTTTTACTAAACGTTTCTATTCTACACTCAGGCTATGTCTACATTGCAAGCTTTTTGCACAAGAAGGCTATGTCTACACTGGTGTGATCTTGCACCAGAGATATGCAAATGAGGCTACGCATGGAATATCGCCGAGCCTCATTTGCATATCTAATGAGCCACCATTTTTGCAGAAGAGGCGCTTGCGCCAGAAGGAGCTGTCTACACTGTCCCTTCTTGTGCAAGAAAAACCCTCTTGCGCAACGCCACTAAGCTGATTATTTTCAGGAATAACAGCATTGCACAAGAGGGTTTTTCTTGCGCAAGAAGGAGCAGTGTAGACAGCTCCTTCTGGCACAAGAGCCTCTTCTGCAAAAATGGTGGCTCATTAGATATGCAAATGAGGCTTGGAAATATTCCACGCTTAACCTCATTTGCATATCTCTGGCACAAGATCGCGCCAGTGTAGACATAGCCAAACTGTTTTACGCAAGAGTTCTTATGCAAAAGGTCATCCACAAGAGCGCATCCACGCTTCCATGTGCTTTTGCGCAAGAGATGTGCAGTGTGGATGCTCTCTTGCGCAAGAAACCCCTGTTGCCTAACTATACTGCCTTCTTGTGGAAGAGCTCTTGCACAAGAGAGCTTATTCCTCATGGGGAGAGGAATAACTCTTGTGCAAGAAACCCTGCTTTCTGATGCTGTACTGTAAATTTACTTGTGCAAGAACGTGCGTGCAGTGTAGACGCTCTGCAAGTTTTTGCGCAACAACAGAAGCCTGCAGTGTAGACCTAGCCTCAGACTCTGTACTTGTGAGTTGGGAAGCATTGCCTCTCAGAGGTGCCAGGGGTGGTGTCTGAATTTCTCATATTACTGGGTTGAGCCTCCTGCCAGCTCTGTGATAGATGTATAGAGAGGAACCCCTAGATATTGAACCTGGCCCTGGTGGCTCCTGCTGGTTTCACCTGATTGCCCTTATGTGTTCAGGGGTCAGTCATACTCTCTGAAGCAAGTGAACACAGGATTCACTTTAGGAATTAGGCTAATCTGCACTTCCCCGCTGTGGAGAATAAGCAGCCCCAAAGTGCACAAAGCACCAGGAAAGGAACATGGTATTGGAAGAACTCAGACGACATCACCCAATTTTGAGACAAAGGCCAGTGTTCATTCCTGCCCTCTCAAACCAAAAACAACATAAAAAAACCACATGGAAAATTCAGAGAGCCCATAGAAAAAGAAAATAACACAAGGATGGTACATAAGAATTTTTCTCCTCATTTACTTTCTAACTGGAAAAAAAAAACCTCTGCAGAAACAACCAAATATTATTTAAAGTTCTTAAGGTACAGCACTGGGAAAAGTTTTTAACTAGCAATAACCACACCATTCTTGAACACACAGTGGCTACGTCTAGACTGGCATGATTTTCCGCAAATACTTTTAATGGAAAAGTTTTCCATTAAAAGCATTTGCGGAAAAGAGCGTCTAGATTGGCACAGACGCTTTTCTGCAAAAGCACTTTTTGCGGAAAAGCGTCTGTGCCAATCTAGACATGGTTTTGAGCAAGAAGGCCCCGATCGCCATTTTTGCCATCGGGCCTTTTTTGCGCAAAACAGTTTTCAGCTGTCTACACTGGACCTTTTGCGCAAAAGCATTTCCGGAAAAGGGCTTTTGCCCGAATGGGAGCAGCATAGTATTTGCGCAAGAAGCTCTGATTTCAAACAGTAGAAAGTCAGTGCTTTTGCGCAAAATCAAGCGGCCAGTGTAGATAGCTGGAAAGTTTTTCCGCAAAAGCAGGAAACTTGCCAGCTGTCTACACTGGCCACTTGAATTTCCGCAAGAACACTGACGATCTCATGTAAGATTGTCAGTGTTCTTGCGGAAATACTATGCTGCTCCCGTTCAAGCAAAAGCCCTCTTGTGCAAATGCTTTTGCGCAAGAGGGCCAGTGTAGACAGCTGAAAACTGTTTTGAGCAAAAAAGCCCAGATCGTGAAAATGGCGATCGGGGCTTTCTTGTGTAAAAGCGCGTCTAGATTGGCACGGACGCTTTTCCACAAAAAGTGCTTTTGCGGAAAAGCGTCAGTGCCAATCTAGATGCACTTTTCCACAAATGCTTTTAATGGAAAAACTTTTCCATTAAAAGCATTTGCGGAAAATCATGCCAGTCTAGACGCAGCCAGCCAGTCTGTCTATCTGACTCTCACTCATTTGCTAACCACTCAGGTGTACAGCGTGGGGTGAACCCGACTGACTGCAGGGCATCATGGGCTTGATTAAGCTAATTAACCCATCACCCAATTTGCATTACCAACTTTCTGTCTCTTGATAGTTTCTCACATGACATGTTTCTGCAACTTTTCCCAAAGTATCTCTGCTGTCTATACAGTGCTAAATTCATTCATTGAAAAAATAATGTCAATGTTGAGGTGCTAAATTAACTGCAATAAGCTAAGTACTGCTTGACTCTGTCTTTAGTAACTTTTTTTCAGCGAGAAAGGATTATGTGACTGCAATCCCTGGTGTTTTGAAATTTTGCTCTTTCTTTCTGTGCTCACTTTCCCAACAGACATTCTTTGAATTATGGGATTTGTAGTTTTCCTTTTAGCTTTGTTTTTTTTAACTACATTTCCCAGAGGTCTCTGTTTCTGCAGCCTTTTTGTCTTCGCTGAAGGTCAGGTACTACCATACCATGAGAGGTGAAAATGCAAATAATTATAGACTTTATCTTGCTGATTTAACAAGGGATTTATTTTTTTCTTTTATTTTTCTTTTTTTTATATGCCTGTTTTATACAAACGGAGGTATGGCTAATCTGTGTGCTATACAGATCTTAGAATGGGGGGTTATCTTCAGATACTGCCCCTTTCCTGTTGTAATGTTGATCTATTTCTGTAGTGGATTAGAGACGTTTTTGTGAAATGTTAGTATTTTTTTGCAACTTTAACAGGGGGAACAAAGAACTGTACATTTAGGACTTGGCAGGAGAGTGAAATGGAAAATGATTTTTAATTATCTTGTGGACCAGAAAGCATTGAGTTTAAGAATATTTTTTCAGATGTATTTGTTTTCGTCATTAAATATTTCTCTAACTTTTGCCTTCCCCCTCCCCCTCCGGTATTTCATGTCACAAAATCTTTCTCTTTTCATCTTTCACCACATTTCTGCAAGGTATTTCCCTTCCTCTTGGTTCTTGCTACTTACTGTCATTTTCCATCTCTACCACTGCAAGCTCCCTGCCTCTCTTCTTGCTCTCGTCCAGTCTGACCAAAATGCTGCTTCGTGAACCAGTGTGGTTTCCTTATTGCTCTCCATGTCAGTCCCTCATAAAGATGATTCTCTTCAGCTCTATTGATTTTAGGCACCTAAAAAGTCTTTTGCCCAAACGGGAGCGGCATAGTATTTCCGGAAAAGCACTGACAATCTTACATGAGATCGTCAGTGCTTTTCCGGAAATTCAAGTGGCCAGTGTAGACAGCTGGCAAGTTTTTCCACAAAATCATCTGCTTTTGCGGAAAAACTTGCCAGTCTAGACACAGCCTAGGTGTTTAGTGAGAATTACAAATTCTCTTCCTGTTTTCTCTCCTCTTGTCTGCAAAGATCTCCAGGTAGTTCATTCCCTCCATTGTTGTTTTTTTTAATCACTTTATACACAGGAAAATTAGAGAGTGAACAAAAAAAATCTCCTGAAAATAGGGTGAACAAATATCTCTCCTTATGCTTTCCTTCCCTTTGACTCTTTTCCAAGCCAATTGATAAAGCAATCAGTGCTTCTCCTATCCACCAATCAGTTCTCCTATCAATTTGTATTGCTCTCTCTCCAAAATCCATTCTCCCCTCCCCCGTCATTTAATACTGCTCCCCTCTCTTTGTGGGCCACTCTGCTGCCTCCTCTTTGCTCCTCAACTGCTTTCATCTCCCAGCTACTCCTCCTTAGCTGGGTCCCTCTGTTCCTGACTCCCTCCACACCCTGCTCCTATCCACCAATCAGTTCTCCTATCAATTTGTATTGCTCTCTCTCCAAAATCCATTCTCCCCTCCCCCGTCATTTAATACTGCTCCCCTCTCTTTGTGGGCCACTCTGCTGCCTCCTCTTTGCTCCTCAACTGCTTTCATCTCCCAGCTACTCCTCCTTAGCTGGGTCCCTCTGTTCCTGACTCCCTCCACACCCTGGTAAGAGAGCAGCAGCTCAGAGGCACACAAAACCCTGCTTCCCTGCCATTAGAGACGCCACAGAG